CCATCTTTGTTGGGTTAATTTGCATAGTCACTCTGATTGGCTGGTGGGCATAGCGGAGTGACACCAATTTGCATGTTTCTCTTTTATTAGTGTAGATGTTCACAGTAGGGGCCTGGTGCACATAATTCATGCACTGGGGAAGGGGGCGTCCCCCAGCCTGGCCTGCGCCCTCTCGCAGTCCAGGATCCCTGTCACAGTCTGGGGCTCTCTCAGTCCAGGACCCCTCGCTCCTTACTGCCCGCCTGCAGCGGAGGCAGGGAGGGTCCCGCCACCGCCGCTGAGCTCGCCAGCCATGAGCCCAGCTTCTAACTGATCAGTGCTCCCCCTGTGGGAGCGCACTGACCACCGGGGGGCAGCTCCTGTTTTGAACGTCTGCCCCCTGGTGATCAGTGCATGTCATAGCGACCAGTCATTCCACCGTTTGGTCGATTTGTATATTAGGGTTTTATTATATAGGATTTTGTTTTTTCAGAAAAGAAAAGAGAGAGGAAGAGAGAGAGAAACATCAATGATGAGAGAGAATCATTGATCAGCTGCATTCTATATGCCCCCTCCTGGGGATTGAGCCTGGCATGTACCCTGAGCAGGAATTGAACCATGACCTCCTGATTCATAGGTTGATGCTCAACCACTGAGCCACACCAGCTGGGCTGTTACTAAGTTTTTATAAATTGTGGTAAAATACACATAACATAAACTTTGCTGTTTTAGGTGTATAATTCATTGGCATTAATGACATTCACAAAGTTGTGCAATATTCACCATTGTTTCCAAAACTTTGTCATTACCCCAAACAGAAACTCTGCACACACTCAATACTAACTCCCCATTCCCCTCCCCCAGCCTCTGGTGACCTCCGTTCTCCTTTTGTCTCTAATGAATTCCCCACTACAGGATTTGTCCTTCTGTGAGGCGGTTTCTCTCAGCATAATGTCGTCAGGATCCATCCGTATTGTAGCAGGTGTCAGAATTCCATTTCTTATTATGGCTGAATAATATTCCATTGTGTGGATGGACCAGTTTTTGTCTATCATTCATCTTTCAGTGGCTACTGTGAATAAAGCTGCTATGAACATGGGGCATACAAATAACTCTTTAAGTGCCTGCTTTCAGTGCCTTTGGGTGTACACCCAGAAGTGGAATTGCTGGACCTTATGGTAATTCTAGGGTTAGGTTTTTGAGGAACCACCAAACTGTGTTCTCCACAGCAGCACACCATGTTACATTCCCTTCAGCAGTTTCTCCATTGCCCATTCTTTTTTCTTTTTCTTTTTTTTTTTTTTAATAAGACAGACCCTACTTTTTGTTGGGGTGGGGGGGTGGTTTCTGTGTTTTTTTTGTTGTTATTAATCCTCACCTGAGGATATGTTTTCCATTGCTTTTCAAAGAGAGTGGAAGGGTTGGGGGGAAGAGAGAGAGAAACATCTATGTGAGATAGACACATCGACTGGTTGCCTCCCCCACTCATCCCTATCAGGGGCAGGGAGCAAACCGAAAACCCAGGTACGTGCCCTTGATCGGGAATTGAACCCTCGACTCTTTGGTGCACGGGCCGATGCTCTAACCACTGAGTACACCAGCCAGGGCCATTGCCCATTCTTTTTTTTTGGGCTGTTTTTAATAGCGAGTAACAAAGTAAAAAGTATTAGGTGCAGTCTTTTAGTTTTCTTGTGAAAAGACATGAAGAAATCCTAATACTGTGTTCCTGTGTGAAACTGACTTCTGATCTCTGCTTTCTTTTAAGCTTCTAAATGCTATGTGTAGACTCCCCTACCTCACCCACGAATTCAGGGCCAGCTCTGATCACATCCCTCAGCTGCTGCCTGTAGAGGTGACAGGCAGCCCCTTTCAGAGTGACTCGTCCCTGCACTGTCCTCCCTGGAGTCTCCTCACACCTCTGCCTCAGCTCTGAGATTCTGGAAGCTCCCAAGTAAATGTTCAGACTCCAGAATTTTTCTTTTCTTTTGTTTGTTTGGCTCCAGAATTCATAAAGTACAACCCATTTAAAAGACATTTTTTGCTCCCATTTGTAATCTGTAATAAATATTTTTTATTTGCAACCTATATACAGTGCTCAAAAGTGTTCTGGGCACGTCGAGCACCTACAGTATTGTAAGAAGAACAGAAACTCATCAGGAAGTAAAATCGTGTTCTTGTTGCCCACCTGTCTCTTTAGGCCTCTACAGCTTGGTGAGAGCTCTCTCTCTTTCCCTAATGTGCCAGGTCAGGAAGCCAGGCAGGGGCCACTGGCACACACCCCAGACTTGCCAGTCCTCTCCAGAGAGCCAGCAGCCCATTGAGTTTGCCAAGGAAAGCCCCGTTCTTGAAGTGTTCCATCAGCGAGCGGCCATTGTCGCCTGGTATTAGCATTCCCAGAGCAGACATCCTCTTCTGCAAAAGGCTGTCGCACTCTGAAACAGTTGGTTTTTGACCTGCTCATAGGTCGATGCAAATAGTGTGAAAAGTCAGGGTGTGACTCTGATTCCAGAAATAATACCTTTCCAGCGACATGAGTAGCTACATCAGTTGTCCTGCAGCTCGAATATTAATGTGTTTCTCCCATAAAATTCCATTTGTCAAATGACTAGGAGCCGTGGGCTGCGCAGTGATGTGCATCTGCTGTACTCTTAACAGTGGTTCCCATACATCCAGGCTGTAGTAGGTGCTTGATAAATGTCTATTAAGTTATTTTGAGCAAAAAGTAGGAGGAAATCCATTAAGTGATGCATTTTTAAAAATAATTCCTTTTTAAGATAATTGTGTTGTAAATTATGTCAGACAGACCTCCAAACGAGGAGTGCTTTCTTTTTTATAAATTTTGGAGTTTTATAAAGTTTAATATCAAAGATTATCCAAAAACCTAAATGCCACAGCATCAAAACAGAATTGTTCTATATGGATGCTGCTCAGAGGCCACCATGACTCTAACCACGGTGGTGAGTACGGGGCTGGCCTGCTAAGCTGTGACTTGTGTGGTCTTCAGGCTGGAAATGACCAGAGGTGGGACCACCAGCCAGTGCGCACGAGCCGTGATGACTTAGCAGCAGTCCTAACGCTAGCGGCTGGCTGGTGGTTCAGAGGCTAAACAGAGCTTTCAGGTAGTAGGTTACAGTCATTCAAGGACGTGTGCTTACATGTAAATGCTGGCTCTGGGTTGTGCTGTTTTAGATTTAAGGTGGCTAACCTCTAGAAGCATTATTAATGCTTACTGGTCTGATTGTGGTAGGAAATTTGGAAACTATAGCAATATGATAAAAAAAAGATTGCCCAGCAGAAACTCTACCTGTCTGACTTGGGCAAGGAATGGGACATCTAACATCCACAAATCAGGAAGCCACTGCCATGGGACTGAATGTGCCTTCAAGGGCGCTGTCTAGGTGGGGTTCTCGCTACGGCCACACTAACGCACGCCTTCTAAGGGCCAGCAGTCCCCAGGCAGCTGTGTGGATTTCATAGTCTGCTCCCCACAGCGGCCCCAGGGCAGAGGTTGTTGTACCCCTCGTCTTTGATGAAGGCTCTGAGGCACCAAAGGATTGGTGACCAGTCCAAGGTCATGCACACAGAAGGCAGTGTGGGCCCAAGCTCAGATCCCTCTGCAGCCTCATGAAGCAGGAGCTAATAATACCAGCTCATTTTTGTCTCTTTGATATGTTTTAGCACTATTGAAAACACCATACATAACCACACACATGTTTGTGTATAAATCTATATGAATAATCAATTAATTGGAGAAAGAAATGGATTCTGTACATGTGTATGTGTCACCAGCAATTTTAGAACTGGCCACTTCGACACTGAGACATGTAGAATTCATGTGCTCTGTGTTCGTCCATTGGTCTTTTCTCTCTAAGCTCTCCTAACTGCCTCTTTGTTTGTTTTCACTTTTTTAAAGAAACTAACACTGAAACGTGTCAGTTAGAGTGAGTGGGTCACATACATTAAAATTGTGGTTCTAAAGTGTATAAAATTCAATAGAATGGCAAAGGTCTGGGGCAGGGTGGGAACCGCGTGGAGGGGGGCAGTGGAAGAAAAAAGAGGGACATCTGTAATACGCTCAACAATAAAGATTAAAAAAAATAATAAAGTGTATAAAATTTTACCTGTTCTCTAATTATAAAAAACTCAGCTAGTAATCGACTGAATCACTGTTTCTCCTATAAGGAAAAAAGCACCACCTTATTTTGTTGCTGTGCAATGGGGACTGAAAACCGACTGAATTAACGGATGTTGGGGCACCATGGACATCACACTGTGCTCTTTCTTCCGTAGGTGGTCATGGCACTGCTCAAATACTGGCCAAAGACTCACAGTCCAAAAGAAGTAATGTTCTTGAATGAGTTAGAAGAAATTTTAGATGTGATTGAACCGTCGGAATTTGTCAAGGTCATGGAGCCACTCTTCCGGCAGTTGGCCAAGTGCGTCTCCAGCCCACACTTCCAGGTATGGACTTGGGGGAGGGTGCAGAGAGTGGTGAGCAGCTGCTGGGTGGGCTCCTGTTGGGGTGACAGATTTCTGGGTGCTTCTCATGTGATTTGAAAGTAAACTTCAAGTTTGCAATTTAATCGCACCTCAAAATAAGATGCTAAGACTTTAGTTCTGTAAAATATACTTTAGTATCTTGTTCCCATCACTGACAACATTTCTCAATAAGAACAATTTTTTTAAAAAGAGCAATTAAAAATGGCTTCTCTGCCCTAACCGGTTTGGCTCAGTGGATAGAGCGTCGGCCTGCAGACTGAAGGGTCCCAGGTTTGATTCCGGTCAAGGGCATGTACCTTGGTTGCAGGCACATACCCAGTAGGGAGTGTGCTGGAGGCAGCTGATCGATGTTTCTCTCTCATCGATGTTTCTGACTCTCTATCCCTCTCCCTTCCTCTCTGTAAAAAAATCAATAAAATATATTTAAAAAAAAAAAAAAAAAGGCTTCTCACCCTGCCTGGGTGGCTCAGTTGATTGGAGCATCGTACCAGTGTGCCAAGATTGCAGGTTCAATCCCCGGTCAGGGCACATACAGGAGTCAGCCAGTGAACCCATAAACGGGTGGAACAGCAGGTTAATCTCAAAATCAATCTCTCTCTCTCTCTCTCTCTCTCTCTCTCTCTCTCTCTCCCCCCCCCCCTCCCTCTTTGTACCTCCCCCTCTCTTTCTAAAATCAATAAAAGTTTGTAAATGGCTTCTCTGTAAAACTATCTTTGTGTTCAGCATGTTCCAAAATGCATAAAACCCTATTTTCCATAATTGAGTAATCGATATCTATAGGTAATATGATAAAACCTTCAGCTCTGGAGTCTCTCCATAAAGCTCTTTGTTTCTGACATCATATAAATTCCTCTCCCTTCACCCTTTAGAAAAACTTAATTAATAGTCTTGATTTTTGTCACTACGGAATTCTCAATCAAGTCACTTTCCGCTTTCTTTTCCTGATTTCCTTCTTAAACCCTTCAAGGTCTCAAAGGTTTTCCCCAGTGGCTTTATTCGGCTACTCTGCCACCCCATCCTTTTGTGTCGTTGAACAGACATTTATTGTAAATTCATCATGAACAGGGTGAAAATCTAGCCACAAAATGAGCAAAACCTCACGGTCTTCAGGGAGTTGGTGACCCAGCAGAGGAGGGAAAATGTGCCAGCACAGCTCCACGTGACCTGTGTACATGTTGCCCCAGCCCCTCCCATCCCTCCATCTAATTACTCCCGCTGCCCTCAGCCAGTGCCCTCACCTCCCTTGGGGACCTGCTCCATGACCACGTTTCCCCACGCGCACACAGCACTCCATGTCCCCTGCCCCACCGCTGTTCACCACATGATGTATCACTTCTAATGGATTAAATAATTCACCCACCAAATGCCTCATCCCTGCTGAGCTGTGTGTGCATGGGCAGCAGGAAGCAGAAGGATTCATTTGACTTGTGTCCCTCAGCATATAGCCCAGTGTCTGGCATGAATGTTGAGTAAGCTGTGCCAGTGTTCTTGGTGCCCAAGAAACCATCTGCCTCTTTGTTGAAGGCTCTTTAGGGTTACAGTCTAGGGCAGCAGTTTTCAACCTTTTTCATCTTGTGGCACATAAACTAATTGCCAGAATTCTGCAGCACACCAAAAATACGGTGTTTGCTGATCTGACAAAAATTAGATATAATTTTGATTGATTTACAAAAATGATAGTAATAATAATAGTAATTGCCTACCCTTTTTGCTCCAAAGTGACGTTTTTAAACAATCTGGTGCCTCTACTTGTATATAAGTATTTTGGGTACCAAGAATTAACCAATCAGATGTAACTTTTTTTATATTTTACAAATTGATGAGACCAATAAGAAGCAACCCTATAATATGACCTGTATACCAGTATTTATGGTTCAAGACAGGGCATTTACACTGGTGGCCACTGTGTGCTGGATGTTGTCTTTTTTTTTTTTTTTTACAATCTAAGGGAAAAGAGGTCAATGTCCCTGACTAAATAGTCAGATATTATATGTTTTTAAAATTCTGGAGGCACACTGGTTGACAATCGCTGTCTAGGGCTTTGTGAATTTGTAAAAATAATCATAATTTTCTAAGGCAGTATACTTCATCATCCTACTCACAGGTGTAGTAGAGGGGATATTTGCTGAATGATTTCAGTCATGACCGGAACAGAGCATGCACCTCCTGTCTTCCAGGTGGCAGAGCGAGCGCTGTATTACTGGAACAATGAGTACATTATGAGCCTCATCAGTGACAACGCAGCCAAGATCCTGCCCATCATGTTCCCGTCCTTGTACCGCAATTCAAAGACCCACTGGAATAAGTAAGCAGGCTGCCATCCTCACATCTACGTGTTTTTATTTATTTGTTTTTATTTTATTTCTCAATTACAGTTTGCACTGAACATTATTTATATGAGTTTCAGGTATAGTATCTATATATTTTTACATTTGCATATTCTGCTTATACTTCAAACCAGTTAGAATTGAAATCCAAGTCTGAAGTATCAGTTAAGGAACGAGATATTGATGTCTTATTGGACTAGTAGTTAAGTGGAAGTATGTCTTTCATTTGCCTCCTTACCCCCAGTCCAAGCCCACATGTTCACAGCTGCCATATCTGGCCGTGTGAGTAGCAGCATCTTGTTAAGTTCCCTCCAGAGGAGTCAAAGGTCCCGTCAGAGCTCCCGGGGCACAGCCCCAGCAGGATGGCCACTCCATCCTTGGGACCCTCGAGTTCTGCTGTCACACACCCTGGGAGTATTCCTCTGTGACCTAGAACCACCCACTGTGCTCCCTGCCTCTAGAGCAGGTGATCTCAACCCGCCTGAGGAACCTCACATTTGCTCTGCTTCTCCTGTCCTTTCACCGAAGAGCAGGAATTGACTGATTTTCTCCAAAAAATAGAGAATATTATCACCCAGCTGAGTGTTTTGTGATGACCAATCAAGACAATGTTAGTAAACAGGCACACCTTGTTTTATTGCACTTCACAACGTGTCTTTTACACATTGAAGGCAGGCCCTGGCCAGTGTTGCTCAGTTGTTGGATCATCAGCCCAAGCACTGAAGGGTGGCAGGTTTGATTCCCGCCCAGGGCACACATACTGGGTTGAGGATTCATCCCTGGCCCTGTGGGGGCACATGCAGGAAGCAACCAATCATCGATGTTTTTCTGTCTCCCTCTCGCCCTCCTTCCCTTCCACTTTTTCTAAAAATCAATGGAAAAAATATCCTCAGTGAGGACTAACAACAACAAAAATGAAGGCAGGACCCTCCTCCAGCATAAAGATGACTACTTGCTCTATGGTTGTGGTCTGGAACCAAACCCACCATATCACCTAGGTGTGCCCATACCCAAAACACCCTGCTTTGCAGGTGACCTTCACCTTGATGTGATGGTTAATTAAGGTGAAGTTAACAAGTCGTAGTGCCTGACCACACCCGTGACCGCTCACTGCAGTCTTGGGGCTGGAATAGTCCTTGAGTTGTCTAGTCATTGTTAAAATGTTGACTTTTAACAACCTCTTTGTAGCATCTGTTTTTTTCTTTTTTTATTACTTTTTTTATATGTTTTTATTGATTTCAGAGAGATGGAGAGAGAGGTAGAAACATAAATGATGAGAGTCATTGATCAGCCATCACCTGCATGTCCACTACTGGGGATCGAGCCACAACCTGGTCATGTGCCCTGACCAGGAAGTGAACCATGACCTCCTAGTTCATATGTCAACACTAAACCATTGAGTTTAGCGGGTGATAACAAAGTTCCTGTACATGATTGAGCATGATTCCTGCCCAGGGCCAAGGAAGAAAGGTTCTTCTAGGTGTCTAATTATGATTTGGGTTTATTATAAAGTGAATTAAAAAGTAGTTGTGATTTGAAAGTTTAGTTTTTGGCTTGGGTTTTGGTTTAACTCCTATTTTATTGTTGCTCACAATTCCTTGGTTTGCAAGGCTCTGCTGCGCAGTTTCTCTGCCATCACTGGGGTGTCGCTTATGTGGCTCCACAGATGGCAGCTGGGACTTGAGTCACGGGGCTCCGCTGGGACGCAGAGCAGCTGGGCTCCCCTTCTGTGTGTCAGAGCCTGCAGCTAAGTTTGACTAAGCAGCTCTGTGGCAGTTTTATGTTCTACCTACCAAAGCTCTACAGGCATTATTAAAATTAATTTTTCTGTCCTCAGTGAATAAGATAGAAAGGAAACTAACATTTATAGGAAATAAAATGTTCACATTATTGTCTCCTATATAATTAAGCTTGTCTTAGTTACACTTGTTCAAGTTTCAACATTTTTTTTAATTAAATCTTTATTGTTCAGATTATTACATTGGTTCCTCTTTTTTCCCACCATAACTCCCCTCCACCCAGTTCCCACCCCCTCCGCCC